CTGTGAGTTTCATGACAACAGGCCTATCGGTTTTCCTTGAAATGTGTTAACAGTGTTGCATATATGCTAAAAAGTGAAAAAACAGGATAAATTCTACAATAATGGCCCGATCATGCTGATTTTCGAACTTGACCTGCGTTTTATGAATATTAGTCAGCTCTGTAAATATAAAGCCAAAAAGTAAAACTGTCTTTCACTTATGGTGTTAACGCTGAAAGTGCACGGCGACGGCGACGGCGACATGATCGGCGACGGCGACGACAGACGCAGGTGACGGCAATATGTACAGACACATCTGTGTCTGTACATAATAAAAAAGGTGGATTGATAACTCACTAATTCAGGAGGATTATCCCACCTGCTTATCCAGAATTACGTCATGTCTTACCAGAAGAACGTCGTCCTCTTCCTCCCCGGGACCATCTAGATCTTCCTGCGGCAGAGATGTCACGGCAACTGCCTGCATCATCTTCATGGCTGCATTGCGCTTGGCTTTCTTCTTAGATTTCCCAGTGCCTGAATGGCATATATTGAGACAATTCAGGATTGAAAATTATTGAATTTTTCTGTTTCAAATCTGTGCTCACTTCATACAGAAGCTGTTTTACTGGTTTTACTGGTTTTCTTGCACATTCTGATAACACAGTTCAACACTTCTATCCTGTATTACATATCAGCTTTTAAATATATCTGTGTGTAATTTTACCAGTCAAATGACCACCATTGTCTCTCTCATCTCACCAAGTTTCACATTAATTTTTTAAAATATATTTAAAACATTTAAACTTCAATCTTACAACCTCCATTTATTGTGAAAGATGGGATTGTACATTCATACTAACAACTGACACTTGGGCCCTACCAATGACAATTGTCTCTACGAGAATGAAAGCTGAGGTAGAATTCAAAAGAATGTGTACAAATCAACAGTTTTTACTAAAAACAACTTAATACTACTTCTTATCATTCACCTGTCTCTGTTATTTTCCCCAATTTCACAATGCACACAAACTCTCTAGCATGTGGAGGTCCCTGCTCACAAGTGAACTCGTACTGCGGCGGTCTCAGCAGACGTTTCTGAGTAAACTCCTGCAGTTCTCCAATAGGGTTGACTGCAGCGCCATCTACAGTAGTGGTGGGAGCAGCCACTTCTCTGGAAAACAAAACAGATTTTATTGTCACTGGGATCCCTTGTGTGTTTCTGAACCACAGGTTTCTGATTTACATTTAAATATATATATATATACAAATGAGCAAATAACATGATTGTATCAAAATTGCTGTGAAAAATGTAATACACGTATAACATAATTTCTTTTTATTTTCTTGTGCTTTTCAGAAAAAGGCCTCATAACCACTAAATATATATTTTTCAGGGGAAAAAGAGAGCTCTTGCTACTTACCAACTGTTATGAGTTCGCTTCTACCTGAACCTTTGACACACAATTTCTTTTATGTCTACTCAAGTTTCTTTAAGGGTTTAAAGTAAATACCATGTGTTTTTGCTCAAAGTTTTAATCAGTTAACTTACTGAGGGGGTTCATATACTACAGTATCAGCTGTACTGCTCTGTCCCATCATCTGATTCAAAACTGCCCTGGCAGCATTGTGTTTGGCTTTCTTCTTACTGGGGCCTGTGGATAAATAATTCTGGTTAAAATTTATATGACTTTTATTTCTTTCGCTCCTCTTTGCTGATAAAAAGAAAAAAAATCTACCTAAAGGTCTGTTACTAAAAAATATGAATCAATGAAAATCAAACATTATTAATTGTCATTCTTACACTTAAAGATTGCAACTGTTATGTAATTTTTAATCAAATAATACAATTCTGGCCTTAAAAAGTAGGAGCTGTATTGTTGCTACTCACCCTTTCCCGTCCCTGTGAACCCACCAGCCGAGGCACGAAACACAAAAGTTGGTTCGTGGACAGCCCCCTCATTTGCAATAAGATCGTATTGTGGTGTGATACCCCGCTTAGTACAGATTTCCTACATATAAGATACAGAAAAATTATAAATAATAATAATATTAACAAACATGATATCTTAAACTTTATTTTCCTGACACATCTTTTATCTATAAAATTCTGATCATTACCAAGCAAGAAAATTACATTTTTATTCTCATCAGTAAGCACAGATTTCAGAATAATAGCTATAACTGCTGTTTTTGTGGTAAAATAGAATGCATTATATTTCTATGAGATGTTTACAATTATTGAGACATATGGATCTAATTTCAAGTGTTGTTATCCCTTTTACAATGTCTACCTGTAATAAGCTAATGGGAGTTTTATTCTGCATCTGGTTGGTGGGTGGCAATGAGGGGGGTCCCGCTGCCACGGGGGGTGGCAGGGGGACCTGACCGGGGAGAGATTCCATCTGAGGACAGAACACATCATAAAATATATGTCATTATAAGAAACATCATGATCATCTTTTAAATAAATATCTGTAATTTTACTTGACGATCTTTAAAGTTTATTAAGAACAAACTTATTAAAAAATTGCACAGTTAACCCATTAATCTAGTTATCTTATATTAAATTAAATGAACCAAATGGAAATATTCGCATACTCATCGACAAACCGAACGTTCCTCTACTATTAGCATACATAAACAACAACAACATAAAAAGTCACACACTGTTCAATGACAACCAAGACCGGAAAACAAATAAAAATTCTGGGGTCTCTGAACAAACTACAGACAACATTTCCACATGAAACAGTCGTTCAGGATATCTGCAATAATTTGAAATACAATTCTATAACAAACAGAGAGTCTTTAACTAATAAATTTACCATATTTTATAAGGCTACCACTTTTCCACGCCACGAGCCTTTGCAAATGAAGCCGGAAGTAAATTTTGCGAGAAAAAACGCGCGCAGAATGTTGAGAAAAAATAATAAGAAATATTATATAAATATAACAAATGTATCCTAAATTGAACAATTCTATGCATTTTTAACATTTTAACCCAATTTTACCAAGGATTTGTAGGGAATTATTGTGAATTATTTACTCAGTTATTATAAGCGCATATGTTGTAATTATGTCCAACTTTGCAGCTTGCGCACACACCGAAGCTCTGACAAATTATGCTGTTATAAGCAAGTTGTGAAGATTTAGAAAGCTGCTCGATTTTAGCTGTACGCTCTCTACTCAGCATGTTATGGTCATAGCTGAAGAAAGGAGCTAAGGCAACAAGAATGGGAGGCGCAAAGAGATCTAAGAAAGATAAAGATAAAGGTATGTTTAATCGAAAAAAAAAACTGAAAATCAAACAAAATTACAAATATCTTTGAACTTGGTCTTGGCTGGTAGTGGTAATATTACAGTAGCTTAGCAGTCACTTTAATTGCTCCCCTCGTGTAAATATATTGGCCCTTTTCCGTGGTGAAATATAAAACCCAGATTTTTTTTTTTCAATGCTAAAGCACATTTTAAAATGTCTGAATACTCCTAGCATATAAATATTCTGCCGGCATCATTAAAATGCACTGTAGAAAAGAAATGTGAAATGACCAAATGTTGAATGATTTCATTAACTGTTGCTTACTGGTAGGTGGAAAGAAGTCCAAGCGGCCAAAGTACGCCTCTGATTCAGATGATGATGAAGACACCCAGGACACAGAATCCACCACTTTAGGTGAGTACACTCCTTTAATTATATAATACTAAAGTGTACTATAAAGCAGTATAAGTACTACTGGTACTTACTGAGAGGGTTGCATGTTGGGGCACGGCTTGTGGTTTCACTGTAATATTGCAATGTAGCGTAGTCTGTATAGTCAGTGCTGACTTGGCGGGAGCTAGGGTTCTCAATCTATTCTAGAACATTCGGTGTATTTTTTTTTTTTTTTTTTTTTTTTTTTTTTACAGTTCTAATGTTGTTCTGTAATGAATGTAACAGTTCGAGAACTGAGGCTTAAAAAGTAAATATTAATTTAGTCAAATCATTACAGACTATGAAAGGGACCTAAGAACTTTGGGCTTCATATAATGTAAACAGTCCAAAGTTTCCTGCAGTGTATTCTGTTATAGAATTGATCTGCCCATATATCATCTTGAACTGGTTTGTTTTGCTATTCAAATCCTATTACATCATATTTTGCCTTATTCCTAGATGCACCAGAGGCGGCGTCAAGACAAGTAAAAGAGTCTGGTCCAGAGGATGAATATGGAGCCAAAGACTACAGAAGTATACTGCAGCTGAAACTGGACCATAAGTCAAGACCTCTCTGGGTGGTGAGTAAGATTACGTTCCCATACCTAGATCAATCTGACAGGATCGGTCCATCTCCAAGGAGTTTCTTGCTTTTGAAACTGCTTTCAGTTTAAGTGGTTTAGATGTCAGGCACGCCTACCGAAGCTGCTAGATGATAATTAATTACTCCCTTAGGCTAGTAACTTAAGTAGGCATGACAGATATCAAAGCTGCTTAAGTTGATTGCAATTGAGCAAGAATCCCCATGGAGACAGATCGATCCACATTTACTGTGACAAGGTCTGGGAATGGTCCCTTAGATGTGCTTCTCTAAGCCAGCAGGGTAGAAAGTGACATAATATTTAAAGACATTCAGTCGGAGACCTTGTTGAGTTCAGTTGCACTTGCTAGGTCGACCTAACTCATTGTGAATGGATGCTAAGTTTCTACTATCCCAAAGCAGAAATAGTGGTCAGTCATTGAAGAAATTAACAGATATTTTTATCAGCCTAGTATCAGTTTCACCATCTTAGGCTGGTGTTGGACCAATTTTAAACAGGACAAATTGTATACAGATGACTGGTGTTGGACTTGGTGAAGCCAGCTAGGGCCATTGTCATCATACAAACCATTATGTTGAAAACTTGTAGTTAAAATCATGTTGTATTGAGTTATTATGAGTTTTAATCTACTTTCTTGTGAAATGGATTGGTTTTATACATGTAACAGAAATTTATTAATTTCATATTTGATGTCATCATTTAATTTGTTTATGCTTTTTTTTTTAATTGATGTCCTTTATTTACCGGGCACCTAATGGTCACATCTTTCCAGAATCGTTCTTTCCAGTCTACAAACATGTTGATAATTATCTTATTGATGTATTTGTCTTATCAGGCACCAGACGGTCATATTTTCCTCGAGTCATTCTCTCTAGTCTACAAACATGTTGATAATTATCTTATTGATGTATTTGTCTTATCAGGCACCAGACGGTCATATTTTCCTCGAGTCATTCTCTCTAGTCTACAAACATGTTGATAATTATCTTATTGATGTTTATGTTTTTCCAGGCACCTGATGGTCATATTTTCCTGGAGTCATTTTCACCAGTCTACAAACATGCCCATGACTTCCTCATTGCCATATCAGAGGTAAGTGTACATCTGTCTTGTCTAAGAGCGTATTCAGAACAGCGGCTGCCTGATTTGATTCACAGATTTGTAGTCCGCCATTCTGAATGGGCTTTCAATGAACATCAGCTTAACTTCCTTTGCTAATCTCTGGGAGGGAGGTACATGTAGTGTGATTACTGTACAATTCAGAAAATAAAAAGGGTATAGCTGTTACAGGAGAATTTTCTTAATTTTGTAAATTTCTGTTCTCAAAACCAACATTCTGTCTAAAATGATATTATTGTCAAAGCTGTAGCTGGTTGACAAGGTAAATGTCATGCAAAATAACTTAAAGTGAATTAAAAATCACAAATAACAAAGACAACACCAGATGTCACTTGATGACCAAGACGGGAGCAAGTGTTGTTCCCAAACTCCAGATTGCATCAGTTGTGACACTTTGACACATTTCATCTTCTCCAGCCTGTGTGTCGCCCTGAGCATATCCATGAGTACAAACTGACGGCATACTCCCTGTACGCTGCTGTCTCTGTGGGCCTCCAGACAGCTGACATCATAGAGTACCTGAAGCGGCTGAGTAAGACCACCATTCCAGATGGAATTGCTGAGTTTATCAAGGTGAATAGTTTGGGTGGTATGTTTGTCATCTCTTAGAATTCCAGGCCCCATTGTCACATAAAAACAACTTCAGTCGGCTCTCTGGCTTAATTGATAAGAATTTCCATGAGAATGCTGTACTACTTCCTGATAAGGTTAAGATGTGTGCGTGTGAGCAGGTAACATTGGCAATTAATTTCTTAACCTAATTCATAAGTTGCCATCATTGGTCCTTAATTTATTTCTTTTTCACCTTTTCATCTTCTATTTCTCTCCTCTCTTCTAAATCATTTATGATAAGCATAAAGTATCAAAATATTAATGTTACTGATATGGGGCGAGTGAAATAGTAATTTCAAGTTGTTTTGAGTGACACACTCAGAGAAGTCATTCCTATGTTTTTCACTTTCAGCTGTGTACTCTGAGTTATGGGAAGGTGAAGCTGGTCCTGAAACACAACAAATATTTCCTGGAAAGTCAGTTCCCAGTGAGTATGCCATGTGTTTCACAGCATTGGTATACATATTATTATTATTATTATTATTTTATCTGGAAAGCCAATTTCCAGTCAGTGCACCCTGAATATCACAGCATTTTTGGTTTCTTTCCTTAAAAGTTGTTATGTTCTAAGTAATGCACATTGAGATATAAGATTATATACGTATGCTAAGTGGCAGTGACATCCAGTCAGTGTTTCTAATAAGGTCACATATATGTCCACTCTTCCCAGAAGCATACTATATCAGCATTTATGATAACCTTTTAATAAGATATTTGTCCATTCTGTTCCTAGGAGGCGCTGCTGTTAAAGGGTTAGTGATAAAATAAAATATTGATAAGATATCTGTTCTGTCTGTCTCTAGGAAGTGATGCAGAAGCTGTTAAAGGACCCTGTCATTCAGCAGTGCAGGCTGCGTGTGGACGAGAATGCTACGGAAGATCTCACGGTGGCTGAGGTCTCCCAGAAGGGAATCAAGGTATGTTGCGGTGAAATTAAAAAAAAAAAGGAAACAAGTTCTTGAAAGTGCAATGTTTGGTGGTATTTCAAGTAAAGAAAATAGAGACGTACAGGGTATTCTTTACAGCAAGTGTAGACCAGAGACTATCTTGTGAACAGCAATTTAAAAAATACTGTTGACAACAGAAAGATCTTAGTCGTTGTCACAATTATATTGCTTAAGACGTAATAAAAAATTGGTTTGCTTTTGTTATGTTTAGATATGTCAGCGAGTTCTACAGCATATTTAGAATAACTAGACTATAACTACCTTTGTGTCAATCCAGTTTACCAGTGGCCAAGACAAGCTGGGGACAGAGGCGCCCTCTGCAGGGACGTCTGCTGAGAATGGCGGTGGTGACAAAAGTGAGGCCAAGGTTCCCGAGGACATCTTTGATTTTTATGACAAGATGGACAGAGAGGAAGAGGAGGACGGGGAGGACATGAAGATTGTCTCCTTTGAGGTGAATCAGGACATGATAGAGACACTGCAGAAAAGGTGAGTCACAGAAGGAGGAGATCTTCTTCCAAGACTGATGTTCTTTTGTGTCTGAAATTGGAAATAAAATAAAACTTGTACAAAGATGTCCTGACAATATGTGGGATTTGCTCACCAAATGTAATTTCCTTGGTAGCGGTGGTGGTGGGGTGTGTGAGGGGGTGGGGGATGAAGCTGTTCTCTCTCATTCAGGAATCATTGCTTTTATGACTGTTGAATTGCTTAACACCATCAAGAATATATTTAGAAAAAAACAGGAGTGTATTTGATTAAAGGTAAATTTTTTGTGGGGCCTGTTAAACATCTGCATTAAAAATAAATATTTTTTGTAAAAAAAAATTCAATGAGTGTGACCATTATGTCTCCCTTATTTGAATAAATTTGAATTACTGATAAAGATTGCTATCACTGAATATTGCAGGTATGGAATGTTAATTTTCCTCATTTATTCTGTAGGTGTATAGAATTGGAGTACCCCCTGCTTGCGGAGTATGATTTCAGAAATGACACAGTTAATCCTGACCTGAAGTGAGTAGAAACATGCTGTAGATTGACTTTCCACTGGGTGAATATATCTGTTGTTGTTATGTCCATGTGACACTTGTAATGTTGTACCTGGGGTTAGTTGCTTTTGTGCCGATACATGATTCTCTCAGTTTAGTGGACAGTAAAATATTTTACCAGGATAACTTTAAAACAATTAATAATAAAAATAAATAAATAAATAAATAATACATATTATTATTATTGTTATTATTATTCCACTGTCAGTATTGACATCAAACCCAGCACCATCCTGCGGCCGCACCAGGAGAAAAGTCTGCGGAAGATGTTTGGAAACGGCAGGGCAAGGTCTGGAGTGGTGGTGCTACCTTGTGGTGAGTGGGACAACTAACGCAGACACACATGCTCACTGTCTCTCTCTCTCTCTCTCTCACACACACACATGCATAGGCACACACGTTTTGATATCATGCGTGTGTTTTACAAGACAGGTCTGGTGTTACCTTGCAGTTAATTGAACACCTTCTTCTTCCTTTGTCTACATGTAAGAGGGAAGAGGCAATGTTAAATTATATTTTAATATTTAATTTTATACTTCTATGACTGAATTTTTTTGTGGCTTGAATGTGAAGTTCTGAACTTAATCTCCCTGACACATACTCAGGTACACAAAAGTAATCTGTCAGTATATCCAGTTCAATGAGCATTTTGTGGATATATTTCTACCTTTTTTCAGGTGCTGGTAAGACATTAGTGGGTGTCACAGCTTGCTGTACTGTTAAGAAGCGCTGTCTTGTCCTGTGTACATCAGGCGTCTCTGTGGAACAATGGCGGTCACAGTTCAAGATGTGGTCTACCATTGATGACAGCATGATCTGCAGGTACAATGTCACTTGATTCTCCACTACCTGGGGCTTAAATGCCCTCTCCCATTAGGATGCTTTTTCCAATCTGTGAGGACTTGATTCTCCACTCCCTTGGGGCTTAAATGTCCACTCCCTCTGGGATGCTTTTTCCAATCCCTGGGGACTTGATTCTCCACTCCCTTGGGGATTAAATAACCACTCCCTCGGGGATGCTTTTTCCACTCCCTGGGGCTGGTGATATCCACTTGATTTCCATTCCCTTTATTGATTCCATCTGCTGAATGATATGAAATGAGACAAAGAAATAAAGAAATTAAAACAGATATTTTAGGATGAAAATTATTTTTTTTTTATTATTTTTCGGACCAAACTGTGTTTTACTATTCAAAAATATTCTTTTCTAATATGTGGTAGAATATATCAGATAATTTTTAAGAATACTTTCCATGCATAACACTTCTTTTCTTAAAGATTTACCTCTGATGCCAAAGACAAGCCCATGGGCTGTAGTGTCTGTATCAGTACATACTCCATGTTAGCACATTCCACAAAGCGTTCGTGGGAGGCAGAGAAGATGATGGAATGGCTCCAGAAACAGGAGTGGGGGATGATGGTCTTGGATGGTATGTCAGATTTGGGAGGGGGCGTGTCCCTCAATGTCGGGTCTTCTTGAACATATTTCTGAGATGCAAAATCTAATTTTAGTGGTAGATAAAAGAAACAATGCTTATGTTAATTTTAACTTAATGATGTATGAAGTTGATTCATTTCTCTACATTGCTCTCTTTGTGATGGAAATACTCCAAAAACTGACTGGAGAAACTATTCTCAGTAACGAAATGATTGATAAAATTCATGTTCCCATAAATGTTTTCTTCTCTTGCTGTGTCAGTTAGCCTGTTGTCTAGGCTATTATGTCATGCTCATTATGTGATCATATCAATGTATCACTGACATCTAATTTCCCAGAGGTTCACACAATCCCGGCTAAGATGTTCAGAAGAGTCCTCACCATAGTCCAAGCCCACTCCAAGCTCGGTCTTACAGCCACCCTGGTACGAGAAGACGACAAAATCGCTGACCTGAATTTCCTGATTGGTCCAAAGCTCTATGAGGCTAACTGGCTAGAACTCCAGAATGCTGGCTACATAGCTAAAGTGCAGTGTGCTGAGGTGTGGTGTCCTATGACCCCAGAGTTTTATAGGGAATATCTACAGACAAAGTCACAGAGAAAACTGGTAAGCTTACTGTAATTGAGATCTTGTGTCCAGGGTGGAAATAGAAGATGAATAGTACATGTTAAAAAATCAGTTTGAAGGTGATTTTATCTTATATTCAACCAGTTGTGTCCATTTTGACATACTTCATACATATTGTATATTTTTTCAGCTTATATGTACAGGTAATTTAAGCATTGTCTTAGGTTGAACCTCCATACCCTGTTTAGTATAAACATTGTTTATCGTTTCAGCTTTTTCAAAACTATAATATTTGTTTGCTTTTACCAACTGTTCACAGTTGGATATAAAAATACATACTGATTTTTATTTCAGCTACTGTACATTATGATATTACATATTATATATTATTTCAGCTACTGTACATTTTAATGTTACATATTTACATATTATATATTATTTCAGCTACTCTATATTTTGAACCCTAACAAGTTCCGTGCCACGCAGTTCCTGATCAAGTACCACGAGAGAAGAAATGACAAGATCATCGTGTTCTCAGACAATGTGTTTGCCCTCATCACGTATGCCAGAAAGATGAACAAGTATGTGACCTAGAAAGGAAGATTTTAACTCTTACACATAACAATGAAATGTTTGGATAAATGGGAGTCATCTTCTCTAAAGCTAACAAGCTTTTCCATAGAAAATGACTGTGTTGAAAATTATTAGATTTGTCTATTTTCTTTTACCTTGTTTTATGGTAAAATATGCCAGAACCTAAGTTTAATTGGGGGCACAGTCAGTGGGACTTTTTTTATTTAGTAAAGAAAATTACACTTTGATAGTTAAAAAACACATAATTTCCACATATCAGTATTATAATAGTACCTTTAATGAGTCACTGTTTATTCATTCATCCAGACCTTATTTATATGGCCCAACTTCCCAAGGAGAAAGGATGCAGATATTGCAGAACTTTGTACATAATCCCAAGGTGAACACAATATTTGTGTCCAAGGTAAGATAACATTCCTGAGTTTCATGTTATCCTGTTATGTTTATGGTACTTTTTATTTGTCTGTTAGTGGAATCCATCAGATTTTTCTGTTAACAGGATGACCACATACATAGTGAAAGTTTTAAGCAAGATACTGACATGAAACAAGGAGTTATTGGATTTTGTGAATAATTTTCTTGAACGAAAATACATTGAGATTGGTAGTATGTGTTGCATCATACTTATATGTCGGATATTGTTATGAGAGAGAATTGATTGTGATGTAGAAAAAAGCTGGTGAATATACTACTACTACTGTAGTACGTTTGAAGCTAGAGGAGGTGTGTTTTAATCCATTGATCTGATTACATTCAGCAACAGTCACCTTGGAGTAAGTGCACACTATCTAGGTTGACAGTATTCTTACTGAACATTCCCCTTGTTAAAGGAAATTCCTTCTATAATTCTAAAAATTCCATATTTCCATGACTAGGTTGCAGACACATCATTTGATCTCCCGGAGGCTAATGTCCTCATTCAGATCTCTGCTCACGGAGGCTCCAGAAGACAAGAGGCTCAGCGTCTTGGGAGGATTCTCAGAGCTAAGAAAGGTATGTGCTCAGGTCTTGGCATCTATATTGGGAGTTTGGGAAGGTAAATTCTCCCTAGGTTCTGACTTGAATGAATACAGTGCCATCTGTATGCAATTAAGTACAGATATTATATCCAGTATGTTATAATTGTTCTCCAGCAGAGGAATACAATGCCTTCTTCTACTCTCTAGTATCACAAGACACAGTAGAGATGAGTTATGTCACCAAGAGACAGATATTATATTATATTATATTATATTATATTATATTATATTCAGTATGTTATAATTGTTGTCTAGGTTCTGCAGCAGAGGAATACAATGCCTTCTTCTACTCTCTGGTATCACAAGATACAGTAGAGATGAGTTATGTCACCAAGAGACAGATATTATATTATATTATATTATATTATATTATATTATATTATATTATATTATATTCAGTATGTTATAATTGTTCTCCAGGTTCTGCAGCAGAGGAATACAATGCCTTTTTCTACTCTCTGGTGTCACAAGATACAGTAGAGATGAGTTATGCCACCAAGAGGCAGAGATTTCTTATCAACCAAGGCTACAGCTATAAAGTTATCACTAAACTGCCTGGGATGGAGGAGGCAAGTGTGTGTGTGTGTGTGTGCGTGTGTGTGTTCGCATGTTTGCACGTGTCCATGTGTGAGGAAGGGGTAATTTTCCCATTTGATTGGAGTCCATATTAGGATTTATAACAGTTATCTGAATTGATGGTATGACAGGAATAGTCCTAGGAATGGAACACTGGCATCCCATATGATAAGTACAGGCTGGTGGGGTTAGTACATAGTATTAGGAAAGGGACCAAGGTACCGAGTGGACTTCCATTCCTGTTACACTGGGTTGTGTTGTTAACCACTGGATCTCCAGCTGTGGACTTGGTCCATTAACTGTATTTTGATAGTAATTAAATACAAGTAAAGTTTGTCCAGATATGAAGGATTTAATCATGGATTTTAACACAATGAGTATATTTTGTAATAATATTGCAATTTTAAAATTGGATGTTGAAAAATTAGGGGTTAATTGTCATTATTCTCTGATTGCTTCAGTCTGTTGACCTCTTAGATTCTGAAATTCCCTTAAGTTTATATTTCTCTCCAGGAACTCCTGGACTACTCCACCAAGGAAGAGCAGGCTCAACTGCTACAGAAGGTGCTGGCAGCAAGTGATATAGACGCTGAGGAGGAGAGAGAGACGGGAGGAGGAAGTACCTTCACTGCTAACAGATCTCAGGTCAGTACATGGATAACTTCGATGTCATTAGTATAATTATTATTATTATTATCATATTATTATTATTAGTATTATTATTATTATTATTTCAGGTGAATTGGAAGACTGGTACATAAGTATTCATTAGCTTCATTATCATTATTATTATTATTATTATTTCAGGTTACCAGGAAGACAGGTACAATGTCCTCCATGTCCGGGGCTGACGACACTATTTACATGGAGTACCGCAGTAAGATGAAAAACGTCCACCCGCTCTTCAAGAGATTCCGCAAGTGACGGCTTTAAAATTAGGAGGAAATTTTGAAAACATGATTATCAAGACGAACTCAAGGGCGTTGTTTAAGTTAATATTCTGTAAAATATTTCAGTTAATTTGTGAAATCTAACAAAGTGAAGACTGAACAGCTGTTGTTTTCGTTGTCTAGTAAACAATGTATACAGCGTTTTATTGGATATAATTATTGACTATCACTGCAGCCATTCAGCGCCGCACTGAAACTAAACTTAATAAAGAAAAGATTTGTATCTGTTGAAAGGAAACCTTATATTAGTGCAATTAAAAAAGGAAAACCAGAAAATCTGATTTTCTAAGGATGTGATAAATTAAGCAAAGGGACATTTTTTGAGGAGAGACACTTGCAGCGAAAGACTGGATGTGGAACTGTTTTCCTGGACTTGAGAGCATTGAGAAATACTACTACTCTGATGAAGGGTGTAGGATTTAATGTTAAGGTTCAGGAAGTCGGGAAGGGCAATATCCGCCTTTGTTAAAAGAAAGTAACAAACCAGCTTCTAACATTAAAAAAGGCGGTGTGAATATCGCGGTGGTTAATAATTCACCCAGCTTCAAGCATTGAAAAATGCGGGGTGGATATTGCGGTTTTCATGAATTGAAATAAATACAAATGTAAAAATGAAGTTTGACCTTGTAAAAGACCGGAATTTGTGAAATGATTAGCATTATAATACGTGATGATATGTGTAGGAAGGCAGGGCATAGGTAAACACACCTGAGTGGCGGAGGTAGGCGGCCTGGGGCACCTTGAAGTCGAACTAAATTATCCCTGCCACTGTACAGTGAGGGAGTCGACCTATTTTGGTCACAGTGATATTCGTCTCGTCTGCACGCAAAACAAGCTGAATTCTACTGTTGTTTAGAGGACAGCAATTTGACAGATTGCTATAGGAAAGTAACCAGAAAAAATATCCATGGGTAAATACTGTCACATGTTCTAAGCTACCTTTATATATGATCTCGAACCCCGCGAAATCTCGCTCGATTCCGTGGTAGTATAAGTTACGCCGAGGCTTGTGCTTTCTCGGATTGTTCACGTATCCGACCTCTATGTTGCCAAACAATTGCGAGCAGACCAAGCATGAAGCGCGGTTACATCAATGAATACAAATTACTATTTTTAAGCGTGTTTCCCACCTATATTTATACTGATAAAGACGAGGTTGAATGAGACCTGTCTTGTCCGCGACCTGTGTAAACCGCACCAAGAAAATAACTGGGGACGGAAGTTATCATTGACACCAAGACGCCTAAACATCTTTGCCACTACTATTATCTCCCACGTTTTGCCTTTACTCTCTAGGATAATTGTAATGATATAACAATAAACGGAAGAACTGACTTTTGTAATATCCTTGAGCAGTTAGGATGTGGCGTTCAATTTTTAAGGCAAATGTCAACCTCCGTTTACCTTCCCGTTTAGAGCACATGGGTGCAGTAGAAGGGGATGTCTGTCTTTGGTGGTGTTGAGGGGGGGGGGGGCATTTTTNGGGTAAAGTACTACGTTTTACTTGTACTGCCAGTAATCTGCATTTAGCGGACATAACGCAATGCTCGGCGAGTCCATTTTCAAAATGTTTTTTTTTTTTTTTTTCGGAAATCGCGTGGTCCTGTTACATCTTTCAGTCAAATATTACAAAATTTCAATATATTAAAATTTCTTTTGAAATATTTGTGATCTCGCTCCAAACCCCTGCTCTTAAAACCTAGACCCCTATATCTTGCGCAACTGCTGACTGGTTTTAAACATTTAATTTGATAAAAATTGAAAAAACACATATTCAACTATTCTGTCATGAGTGCAGGAAGTTGAGGGGTGTCATGGATATAATAACCACTTCTTAACCCAACCTTTTGTTAAGATAACCCGAGAAAATTACATCAAACTCTAGAACTAATTTTCTTCCGGATCGGTTAACCGCCGCCCATTTAAGTTGTGGTGTTGAAGCCTGATGTACAAAACACGACTAATATTATCGCTGTCGTATTTTGTTATCAATAGTCTCAGCATGTAATCGCGTTTTTGTTAGTTTTATAATTTTATATAATACAAATATCTGCGATGTTGAATATTGAATAGTGGTTTTATAGGCCTACTGATCGATTAAGAGCCAGTTAAGCCCATTGCTTTTGTTTTGGCACAAATAAAACGCCAAAGTTCTCTTTAATCTACCTTTAATTATGTTGTTGATTGACTCGTCATCATTAAAATGTGACGCATGGAATGACATTCCACTTTCTGTCCCCCCAGATATCGATATCTACGTGATAGATCAATACGATCGCCATGGTGTTATAGTAAACAATAGTAAACACGCGCTTCCGGTCACGAGACTCAAAAACACCTGTCGTCTGCTGTAGCTGAGCTAAAGATTTTTGTTAGACAAAAAAATTGACAAAGGACATATCGACTAATTGATCGAATTGGCCTATATTTAGCATGACTTATTTAAGAAATTAACGATTAAACGAAATGTCCATTGAAGAAGAAAAAATGAGTAGATCTTAAAAAATTGGAATCCGCCTTCCACTCCTTGCCCCATTTCCGGTGGACAATGTTTCCCAATATTTTCGATCGAAGATTCATTGAGAAAACTGTTATATAGGCAGTGAGCCGTGAAACAGCAGATCAGGCGACAGGTGAAGGAAATTCCTTCGCGGTTAAGGGACATTTTCTAAGACATATCGGCAGATATTCGAATATGACTGCAGTGAAGTGAGCAGTAAACTGTCTAACAGGAGAGGATCAACAAAGCTGTAGAATATATTTAAGAAAGCGAAGTGGAGATTGCGCACCGAGTCCTTGAAATAATTCCGAGTCTTAAAAGTACATTAACATTTAGCAAAAGGAGAAGATAAAGCAGATCGATTATGAAGTGGAGATAACTTCGATCAATTTGGATTTCTCTTTCTCAACTCGGTGAGGTCTAGTAGACACCGCCAGCGCATTTTTACAGCATACACATATTCAAATCTGCGTGGAGGTGCTCATAAACAAAAAACGCCCCACATATTAGTAGAATTTTAACATTTGCACGCAAGGAAGGTCACAGCGTCCCTGACATCTTGCCAGGGCAACCGCAGCAGGAATCCTTAATCAGTGCCATCCTTATCTCTAGAAACAGAGCGTGAATTATTCAACCAGGTGGTGACTATAAATTTCCCCACACGAGAGCCATGTACCTCACAAAACAGTTTCGCTGCGTGACTGTTACACGCCGCAACATGCTCAATTTCATCTGGGACACGTGGCGGTGGATGTTCCCACCCAGCCCTCTCCCCCCGGGACCCCGGGGCTTGCCCGTCGTCGGGGCGCTGCCGTACCTTGGCAGTGACGTTACGGGGACTCTAGAGACCTGGGCGCGGGAGTACGGACCTGTTTTTAGCGCTAACTTTGGAAGTCGACCTGTTGTGTTTCTGAACGGGTTTGATGTGATCAAAGAGGCGCTGGTGACCAGGCGGTCCGAGTTCTCCGGACGGCCGTATTTGTATTCTATCCACAGAGTGTTCAAAGGAAAAGGTAAGGAATTGGTATTTCTTTGCGTTCATTAATCTATACAGGCCCGTAGCCAGCAATTTTAAAAGGGGGTTCTTTTTCTGAAAAAGTGGACCTTTTTCCATAAAAACTTCATGTACTTAGAGCAAATTTTACCCAGAGTGGACCTTTTCC